GTAGTAGTAGTAGTAGTAGTAGTAGTAGTAGTAGTAGTAGTAGTAGTAGTAGAGTAGAGAGAGAGAGAGAGAGAGAGAGAGAGAGAGAGAGAGAGAGAGAGAGAGAGAGAGAATCGTTTGAACTGAGCACAGAGAGAAAGATAATCGTTTGAACTGAGCACAGATTTGGGCTCCCCATGTTTTTTTTTTTCTATATACCAATTTCTCTTGCTCGTAAAATTAGGGTTTCTGCGAAGATATTCTAAGATCTTGTGATATTGGAAAGGCTAGGTCTTGTGTTTGCAGGAATCTTTAGATTTGAAGTGTTTATTTGTGCGACTGGTGTGTAGTTAATTTATGGCGTTGGTTTTGGAGGGATTTGGAAGTTGTAGAGGGTTTGATTATTTCCATCTCACTTGAGATTCATGAAATTTCGCTCTGAATTTTTTGTGTGGCTTCTTTCTTTCTTTGGTTCATGTTTTGTTTGAGGGATTTGCGTTGTTTGTTTTAGCAAAGAGAATTATAAGGGGTGGCCTCATAGTTTTGGCGTATCAATTTCTGTGTCTGAACTTCATGGTAAGCGTTTTGGTGATGTATGCTAAAAATGCTGTGTCTGAACTTCTTGGTAAGTGTTTGTTATCATTTTTTTTAGTGCTAAAAATGCTTGATTTGGTTTATCATCTGTGGAAGAAATTCTGTTGCCCATATTATGGAATCATAGGGTTTCCTTAATTATTATTTTTTTGCATTATTCTGTTTTTCTGTGTTTATTTGTTAATCATTTGATTTTGTGGGTTCCTTCTCCATGGTCATACTTTTTTGTAGAAGTCCCAAATGTAAATTGTGAATTTTGGCAAAAGCCTTAAATTTCATTGGACTGGTGTTATTAATTTTGCTTACCATTTTGAGTTATTGTTATGATTTTTGCTTACCATTTTGTTTTCATAGGAAATTAGCATGATGAAACAATGTTTTTGTTCGTATTGGATAATAATCCTTGTGAGAATTTTTTTTTTTTTTTTTTGAGCTAAAGTCATTAATCTTAGTCCATTGCTTGTTGGTGGAATTTCCTCTTTGCCATAGATAAGCAGAGACTGTTAGTTTAAGATATTAAAGCCCCCATGACTGATCATCTTTGTCTAGGCAGTCCTTCGTTTAGTTTTATGTTTTCATATCTGCTGTTTAGTTCACACTTTGTTGTGTTTGCTAAGAACTGTGATTGGAATAGTTGCGGCCTAAGACTGGTGCAATTTTTGTTTGAGCAATCCACATATTAATTTTCTTGGTTTTCTTATACAGTGGGGGTACACTTGTGTTTGCTAAGGGCACCCTCTTTCCCTTAGCATTGCAAAGTACAAATGCGAACTTCAAAGATGTGAAGTGAATATCATAAACTCTCAAAACTGAGTAAACTTGATACTCCTTACTCACAAGCTGGCCATTCATGAGCCTGTATATGAGAGAGAAGTATTTCCTTTATTTTGGAAAAGTTAGGTGTTTAGTGGGTCGCCTTACCTTTAAAAGTAGGGCGACCCACTCAACATCTAGCTTTTCATTGATGTTCAAGAAATAACATTAAAACATATGAGAAAGGTCCATTGTTACCATGCTTTATCAACTCTTCATTTTTTGGTAAATTAACTAACTAATAATTTATTCTTATAGACAAGTTGTTCTTTCCTAATGCATGATCATCTAAAGCTCCATTATGCATAAATTTATTGTTCTTCTTTTATCCATTACAATAAAAAGACCAAAAAAAAAAAACTAGCTTTTTATTTCGCACTTTTTAAAAATAACACTTCTTTTTATTTTAATAGCAGGTTGGCCCAACAAATCAAAAGAAATGTTATAGAATTTCTACCAAAAAATAGTAGTTGGCATGATGGGTGCAAATAATGTTCCAAAACTGTATTCCAAACTACAAAAGGAGAATTCATTTTCACATTTTGCCAAACAACAAATGAAAAACAATTTTAAAAGTATGATAACTACGAAATACTTCTTTATTGCATAAATATTTTTAAAATCATATATAATTTAATTATTTTGCAGTTTTGTTACAGATATCCTTCTCGAAGACAAGGAACATTCCTTTCTAAGAGCCAAAATTTTCAACAAGTATGTAGAACAACTAATATACATGTCTGCATATCAAGTTCAACAAATTATGAAGAAGCTACCTTATTCTATTTTTCCTTTTCTTTCCCTTTATACATTTAGTTTTACCTTATTTTAATTTATGGTTCCCTAACCATAATATACAAAAATGAACACACAATCCAAAGCTTTCTTGATAGATTGAAATACTAGAGCACTAAATGTGTCCTCAAAATTTGGGTGCCATCATGTAAACCGAGCACAATAATACCTGAATGTCTTATAGTTGAACTAATCACCAAGGACAATATTGCATAAATCAATATTTAACTTTGCCATATTGACCCTCTCAGTCTAATTTTCTAAGATTCTGACTTGTTATAAATAAACATATGTCTAAGTAACATAACTGTTTATCAAACACCTATATATCATTTTAGGAGGCATGACATTTGAATTTATACATACTAATTGTGGTTTTTTTTTTTTTTTTAATACCAATGTCTTGGCATCTCATTTTGAGAAAAACAATTTGGATTTCTTACATGTTTTTAGAATTGGGAAAAATTTATATAGAATCGAGGCTCTAAAAAATCAAATTAGAGCCTATATCAAAACTTTCACTAGCAGAGGTTGTTTTGATGCCCAAAGATTATTTAATATAGAACCGAGGTTGTTGTGAGCCTACCTCAAAAATTTCACTAGAAACAAGGACTAAAAATTCCAGAAAGTGTGATCATGACTGATTCTCATGCAGATCGGAAATCCGGATCGAAACACTGTCAAATAAATTTCCCTCCAATCCAATGTTTGGAACACCAATGGGCATTGCTTCCCCGATCTCTGAACCGTGGAGTCTCAGTAAAATGGTGTGAGTTAGAGAGAGAAAATGGCAGTGGAGTGAGCCGTCCTTCTCCATTCCGTTTAGAGAGAGAGAGAGAGAGGGAGAGATGGCATTCAGGGTAATGAGTAAACTGGTGCGCCCCCTTCTCGGAGCCACCTTACCTCGTCTTCATACGCCTTCCCCCTTCTCTCTCCCCTCATTTTCTTCTTCTTCTTCTCTCTACCTTTCATCCTCTTTTGGTTTTCGGCCCGTTTTGGCGATGATGGGCCTTCACAGCTTAACGGACACGCGTTTCCCGAAGAGAAGGCCCGGTCTCAAGCGTCGCAGGAAGAGAGCCAGTCTCAAGCCTCCAGGTTTGTATGACTTCAATCTCCATTGCTTACCAGGGTTTCTTTTTCTCCCTTGATCCATGATAGAGGAAATAGGGCTTTCCTTGCCTTGAATTTGTGGTGGACCTGTTTTTGCTTAGTAATGGTGTTTTTGTGCTTGAAAGAATACTGAACTTAGGGTTGTGATCTTTCTCTTTTCTCTATCTCTATCTCTCTCTCGCTCATTCCTCTCTGTATTTGATGTGTAGTGCTTGTTAATGGTGATGTTATGTAAATGGTAAGAGTGCAGGGCCATACACATGGATACAGTATGTGCCTGGTGAGCCCATTCCTAGGAGCCGACCCAATGAAGGGAGTGTGCAGGGCCGGAACCGAAGGAAGCGTGCCAAACAGAGGGCTGCCTTTAAATTGGTGCGATTCTCTTCTTACTTTGAATGCCATTTGGGTGGGGTGGGTGGGGAAGGGAAGGGGGGGGGGGGGGGGGAGGGAGAGGGATTCATGGTTGCTATTCGAAAGTTTATAAATTCTATTGGCTTTCATTGCGAGACACAAACTTGTGCTTTCCTCATGCTCGGATTATTTCTTTTTCATTTTATTTGAATGCAACTGTTGCATTGACGATGCATTAACTGGTAGCCTATGTTGATATTTGATTTCCCCCCCCCCCTCCNCCCAAAACCGAAAAACGAAACGAAAGAAGAACGAAGAGTAGTGTAGTATAGTAGTAGTTGTTCTTTCTTACTTTAGTTACGTT